AAGGGTCGGGCTGGCGGCTCTCCGGCTCCGAGCAGCCCACAGAAATACAGAAACCACGCAGGAACGCTCAGGGCTGCGTTTTTAAAGCCGAGAAAAGCAAAACCATTCCTGGTGCAGTCATCTTCTCCCTCATGTCACGGTCCAGTCTGTGCTCTGGCATTGGCACCTTGCTCAAGACAGGCCTTAAGAGCCAGTTTCTTCACGGACCTATGCTTTTTAACCAGGCCTGCACAAAATCTCCTACCAAATGTCAACCCTATATACACTTTTTTTTCAGCAGATGGGTACATTTAGCTCTTTCCTCCGGGAAAATTTTTTCGCCTTACCCCTCATCTGGCACTGTTGGGTGTTGAGAGTACTGCAATTACAGAGAGGGTCGCCACCAGCCGAGGAAGCAGCTGTTTAACCCCCATCTGTAGGGCGGGTGGTATGCAGCTGGCACACTGAGCCGTACCACATTTGCAGTGAAAAACACACATAAGTGTTCACAGTAGCATCTTTGAAGTTGCCCCCACAATCTTAAGTGTACGTTTCAGAGAATGGAGAGGTCTGATGTGCAGGAAATACAGGTACAAAGGGACACGCAGCAGATCCAGGAGCGCATTGCCCTGGCTGGCCAAGCCAGCACCCTTGTGACCCCCTCCAGAAGCCTCCCAGATTGCATCCCCTCACGTTGCCTTCCCCACAGACATCAGGGAGTTGAGTCTCCTGTAAGAGCCAGGGTTTGCCATTTTGGAATTCCTTGACATGCTTCGAAGACCACTCTTCCCCCTTCCCCACCACAAATGCGGTGGTCTAGGACAAGTCCTCACCAGGATGTTTTTCATACTGGTGTTTCCTCTGGCCCAGACCCAGAAAGCTCTGGAGCAGCCTGTTACCCCTTCCACAGATCTCCCTGTATCTAAGTGGCTCCAGCCATAGAAGCCATGTCTCTTGCTCCCGCTGGTCTTTCCCTGGCTGCCTGCGAGTGTGTCCAGGCACATGAAGGAAGCCCCCCTCAGCCTGTGGCATCCTCCACAAAGGCTGCCTTGCTCCCATCACTCTGCCCCCGTACTTAGCACCACTGACCTCTCTTCTCTTACTTAAGTACAAGCTGTTATCACCATTCCTCCACAAACCAAATTTAAAGCCCTCAGACGGGACTCTCTGCTATCACCCACCACTTCTCAGTGTGAATGCTTGGCTCAGGTCCATCTGGCTCTGAACCCTTCCCTTAATGCAGCTTGTGCCTTTCTTCTACCTGTTACAGCACCACAGCAATTTTGTAAATTCACAAGCAAGGTGGAGAAACCACCTTTCTGGTGATGCCAGAAGTCACAAGCTTCCAGCTTCACCCATCTCTGCAATCTCCATCCACCACCTGCTCAAGTAGGGCCTCCAGCTGCCCCTTCTTACTCACACTGCATGGTTTGGTTATGCAAGTCTACATGGTCTACAAGGTCGTTATGACCTCTTGCCGTTCACCTTTGCCCATGCTAGAAGCCTACTCCCTTCTCCTGCAGCTCTTGCATGGGGCAACTCAGCACCCTGCCCGCAGCAAAGCTCCTGTAGGCAAGGCCAGCCCTGCCCCGGGGAGAAGCACCAGGTACTCCCTGCAGCCCAAGACCTGGCAGCACATCATCTCCAGGAGCTTCCACCCACGCACCAGGGCTGCTTCCTCCAGCTGACACCGGTGACCCGTGGCACATCCCCATCACCGCTGGGCAGCCCACGATGCCTGGAGCAGAGTCTCAGGGGCCCTTTTACACCCCTGCCATGCTCACCTCCAAAGCATGCTGGCTGCACGCCTGCCTGCTGGCTGAGAAACATGTTCCTGCAGCAGGAGAGAGGAGCCTGGACCTCCCTCAGCAGCAGTCAGCTGGCATTTCTGTGGGGCCCCCACCTTTGCCTGTCTGCCATGCAGCGCTTCTACGCTGGCCCTACAATGAAGGGACTCACAGTGACACAGAAGCTTTTACAAAAACATGTTACTCGTTTTTCAAGGACTGCGTATCTTGGGAGCAGAACACCAGAAACAGCGCTGCCGCACCGCAACACCGATGCAAGAGCAGCAGTGTATTGTCATGGAACTGCTGCCCCGGCCTGCTTAGGAGTTCTAAAATTACCAAATTCTTGCTGGTTTAAAGACTTCCAATTTGCACTTCAAAGAAGTGAGTCACAACTTATTAGAATAAACTTTTATTTACTGCTCTCAGGATCCTCAATTTATACTTTAAAGTATGCAACAAAACCCGCTAATTCAAATCTATACAGATTTACTGATATATCATTCAAGTTTTACAAAACTGCATATAGATATGGGAAATTTGTATAAGTTACCTTTATTTACATGTAATATTCTCAGCCCTAACGACCTAGTCAAAGAATAAAACAAAGTGAAGTGGGACTTTAAATATCCCTTAAGACCCATTACATTTGTTACATAATTTACATATCTTTCGAGAGATATGTGCTACACTTCCTTCTTGCATATTCATAAATACTGCAACTAAACAGAAATTTGCTGGCCAAAGCTAGGTACTGTCATTTCCTCAGACTATATTGGTAATAAAATGTTAAAATCGGAGCAAGGTAGGTATATAAAGCATTTTTTTTTTCTTTTAGAACCAACTTTGCTAATTGTTTTAACCAGCACTTGCTCAAAAAACGTGTTAACATTAATACAAAATACACCCACATTTACAAAAGAAATCAAACAAGTATTTATATGACAAGTTGATCTACAAGAAATTGCACATTGTTGGTTATGACTTTGGTTATACTGTATTAACAAATTTGGTTTCTAGACTAACAGTGGAGAAAAAAATATAAAAATGCAGCTATAGAAACTAGCATAACCTGTAAACATATTACAGAACCAAATTCTGCACCTGTTTACACGTGCATAACCTCCACGCAGTTCAGGGAAATTTGCACACATCAGACTGCTGAATTTGGCCCAGAAAACCCTGTAAACATGTTCTTTATTGTTATGTAGTGCAATACTGCAAGAATGGATAATAAAAGGCCTCTAACTACCAGTAACTAATACTGAGTGATATCCATAGAAATCTCACTTTCATTTGTTGCAAAAGGCTGCATTGAAATATTATCCATCGTTGAACTACAAATTTATCAAAAAAAGTGGTGAACACTCAAAAAACCAATGACAATATACAAATTCAGACAAAAAAATCAATATAATTTCTCATTGCAATTTAGAATTATGCTGCTTGTCTGTTTTATATAAAAATCCTGGTTTTGTTACACCATTTTAACAAAAGCAAGTTAGAAACAGAAACCTAAGAGAAAATGTGTCGGCAAGCCAACGCTCTGCAAACTGATGGCTGATAATGCAAACAAATGCCTTCCAACGTTTTACCTAATATGCTGGATTATAAGGTGCTTTGGGCAGACCTGTAGCAAACAGCCTGAAGCAGCACAGATTATGATATTGCATCACGTGAAGTTTGTTGGCTTTGTTTTTGTTTTTAAAAACAATTTCAGTTGTTCCTCTTAGAGCAGCAGTTCGAATTTAAATCCTCTGCAAAGATTTCTTCACAGTTTTACTTCAGTAGTTTACTGCAGGACAGTGTCAAATACTGTAGAAGAGGCAACTGCTTAAAAACATTTTAGTTTTTTACTTACTCGGCACTGGCCCATCCAACGTGTATACTGCAGTTATTAACAAAGTACACAAAATTGTAGAAATGGTAAAATACATTTTCAAAAGTTAGTGAATTTTTAATACTGATTTTACAAGTGATACTATGAAGATTCAATAGCCATGTGACTAAATACCATGGTAGTCCCTGGAAAATTCAAATCTGTTTGTAAACCCTTAAAACAAAATTGCAGCACTGGACTGATATAATTAATGCTGTATCTCAATCAACCCCATCAAAACCCTGAGTATTTTCAATTGCCAGAAGAAGTTTATCCCATAAATCTTCAAACGAGTCATATGGAGGCAAATCCAAGCGATTAAAGCTGAAAAACAGATTAAAAAAAATTCTTAAGCATTTTATCACTCTTACTAAAGGTTGCAACCTACCTAAATTAAATACTCACCAGGTATGAGCTCTTGGCAGTTTTTCAGGGGTACCCCACTGTTCAACTGTGAACAACTGTGGTCCGTTTGAACCTGCAGAAAAGAATACAGAAATTTTCACCCCATTATGAGATTTCTATAATTATAAATTCAAATTGTGAAATATTCTGGTTTTTTTGTAATCCAATTCTGACATTAGTAGTAGCCATCTAAAAGAATCAAGGACAGTCTCTACTCAGTAATGGTCAATAATCCCAATTCACTTGTATTTTTAATTATTTCTTGTTATACCTTAATTTCAAGAGGCTTTTACACCTTAAGCTCAGAAGGCTAAGACCTAAATGCATACACATAGCAGTTGGCATGGAAAATTTTATGCGGAAAGTTTTATGTTGTAAAACTACGCATAACACCTACGCAACACAGTGGAGTAACTGAGAACTAAATTTTACATGTAAAAATTTAGACCTGCTTATCACAAGGTGCCAAGCTACACAACCTGGCAGAAAGCAGACAACGCCCACTTTCACCTACGCAACACAGTGGAGTAACTGAGAACTTTTTGAAACATGGTGGCCATATGTGTACTCCAGGGATGTCCATATGCACCTGAGAGAACTTTGTTGGCTACCAAGCGCCACTCCAGCTACACCTGTGCCTTCAACAGCTGTCTTACAGCATGTCATATCTGAAAGCTTCTTGGATCTCTCAGCTCTCGCCAAGTGGATGCAAAGGGCGTTTTGTCACCGTTTCCTTAAGCTGTTTAAAGCACTTGTGTATGTCTAGAGAAGACTGTGGAGTTAAAAAAAATTAAAAACCATTATCTTGTCAGAGAACAGGAGATGATGTCTGACAGTGGGTGTCTTCTGACTACTCCACAGGGAGACCACCCATACTGTTAGAGAACCGCATTCCAAGGCAGATAGCTACCCAAGTACGAGCAGTCTTCTGCGTCCGAAATGGGAGATGTGAAACACGTTTCAGATCAAAGATGAGCAGCACTGAGAACAGGCTGATCTGTGAATACAGCTGAGGTACATGTGCTGTGTAGAGTACCTTCAGACCTACGAAATGAATTTGTTTTTGTAATGCGGGCAGACACCTTCCCTTTTCTTCACAACTCCTCCAAAATGTTTTTTTGAGTTTTTTGAGTTGGGTTTTCTTTTTTTTTTTTTGACTACACAAGTTGTAACTGTCAATTCAAAAAGATTTCATTTGTGGGTTTTGTGGAGACACGAAAAAAAGAAACATATTCATAGTAAACGAAATTATCATAACATGTAATAATGCATGGTGTAGAAGTGGATTTGGAAGATGTTAGCCAATTTATGTACAGAAAAAAAAACCCCAAGGATAAAAAACATAAGACCATTCATCCCAATCACGAAAATAAAACAAGAGGAGAAGACCCTTTTGCAACTACCAACATACACAAAAAGGTAGGAAACACCAATCACTGCACAGAAACTATACGTCACACAAGTCCAGTGAATGAACTAGATAGGTGAGAGCCAACACTGAGCACTTCATCACAAAACATCGTCAGTGAGATAGATGTCAGTAGTTGTGTGAACACTTCCAGCTCCTCTTTACTTTCTTCTTCGGGTTACATGTTTCTTCAGTGCAGGAGGCTGGTTAGAAAAGGTAACTATAAAAACGCCTGGAATGAGGCTGAAGCAGAGAAGCAGCTCTATGACTGGCAGTACATTCTATGTCGTGGTAAGAAGATAAAACCGCCTTTTAACAGCTAGGGAAGAGTAAGCCTGCATTTCACCTACCCAACGAATGAACCGGAGGCTGGCAAGGCAGGGTGGGGGGGAAGACAAGAAATATAAGAAAGCCACGTCTGTTCAGCGTCCTAGTTTTCGAACTCGGGTGGATTTGCTCCCAGACTCCGAGCACTCCGCGTTAGGAACAGAAACGCCTCTCCGGGCCACAAGAGGGAGGTCTCTCCCTAGAGAGCCAGCACAGACACCGCAGCCCGAAGGCGGGTTGTTTGAGAACAACCGAAGGGGCAGCCCGGCAGCAGCAAAAAGCCACGTACCAACGCGAAGCACTGAAGAACCCCTTACAGGTCTTCAGATCAAAGCAGGTACTGGGAATGGGATTGTTAGCATGACTGGGGTTTAGTGAGGATGGCATGTGGGCCACAGTAAAGCGGAAATAACAGTAACAGAAAGAAACAAAGCGCTGTGCAAGACAACTGCTAATTGAATTTTTTATTAACAAGTGAATCAACTACAGAAATGGACTTGGCCAGAAGACTGCCCAAGGATATTGTAATTCCTGAGCAGAAAGGTGCCAAGAGCAGTTTCTTTCTCTGTATCATTCCTTAGTTCTATCTCTGGTAGTGGTTTTAGACAAATAAACAAAAATCTGGCGGCAGCAGGATTCTGAGCAGGTTCCAGTGCAATGAGCACGTGCTGGAATTCCAGCAGTACCAAGGCTCCAGTGCAACAGCAGACACATGGCTCAAGGCCACTGAGGGCACTGCCCTTCCCAGTGGAACACACAACTCATTCAGTGAGGGTACTGAAAAAATACACCAAGTGTTTATGATGAAAGTGAAGAGAGGGAGAAACGGGGACACGTGGTGGGTGATATTTGTTCACAATTCTAGAATTTTATAAACAAATTACTGTCTTGTTTACAAAGAAGGAAATGTTTATTCAAATATCCAAGTTAGGCTATTTAGTCATTTGCATAGGATCTCAAGCACTTTTACCTTAATAAAGCTGTCTGGCAGAAAACATAATGGCTGGTGGCAGCTGAAAACAAGGCTTCCCATAAGCAACATACCCCCACCCTTTGTGGGCTGGTTTATCTGCTTGCCCAGTCCTTCCACAGCAGGTTTTCTGTCTTTGGTATTGGAGTGTGCTCTGGTTACCATCTGCATGTTCCAGTCTCTGCATTGTAGGTTTACTACTTTTCTTTTGGCACCAGTGGTCCTCTTAGAGTGTATAATTACAAACAACTGTACCTGTGCAACTGTGGCTTCTGAGCAGTTGGGGAACTTGGGAGACTCTGCAGTTAACTGCTGATACCAGCATGTCTTTGTAATCAGATCTTAGATAACTGAGAATTTTCTTCAAGCTCCGTCACGTGTTAAACAGGGATTTTTGCAGCTCTTTAGGACTTCAAAAACCCACATTCGAGAAGTCCTATACATCTTAAAAATTTCCAAAACCAGAATTTAAACAAAGTATTTATAGAACATGGGAAACATGATCCAAGTGACTTTCCTCTAACTTTGCTTCTTAGTATGCCAGTACCTACTCATTTTTAAAGCAAAATTTGAAAAACAACGTGCCTACGTTTAAAGTCCAGTATCATGACAGTGTCAGTACCGTGTTCGCCGTCACGTAATCACAAATATAATCGTTAAGTACTCACCATACAGCTCAGCAAACCCATTCATAGGTACACGGGATGTGCCAGTAACAAACTGAAGTAATCTTATTCTCTTTTCAGAGTCCATCATTAAGACTGCCTATGTATGATAATGATCACAATTAAAGCTTATTTTTAAATTAAGGTTTTAAGCTAGCAGATTTATACAGCATAGTTTTTATCTCAGAATCATCACCCTTTATATATGTGCTTTTTTTTTTTTAGTGACACACAAGGTCTACTTCTCTGCCTATTGCTAAAAGGTATGAAGTCAACAACTTTTTTAATGGCACTGTAACAAGAGTACAGTTACTGGCTTAGCAGGCTGTTAAAATACTTCCCTTGAAGATTTGGGCCCTACTTTCTTTGAAGATTCCTGATGTTATGAACTAGCAGACAAATTCCTCTAATTTATTAAACAGAAGAGTTTAACACCTCTTTAGTGTAACCATGACAGAAAAACCTACACAGAAATTTTTAATTCCAGTCAGGCACGGATTTTTTTTTTTTTTAAAAAACCAGAAGTATTTACATTCTTACCATGCATCTAATCTTTAGTTTTCTTACTATCTTTCTCAGGAGTTTTAATGGTCAAGGTTACCTATGTGTTGATGAATCACATGATAAACTATCATAGCTGAAAGGTAGCAGCTTTTGAACAGGTTTTGAGTAAAAAAAAAATATTAGAACTTCATGTTACCTTCCAGAACCACTGTATTACTTGATGGTTTATGTTGTAGCCATTTTTGTATTTTGTGTGTAGTTTCCAATCAGCCACATCCACATCTCCTAGTCCACACATCAATAACTACAGACAAAAAAAAAAAAAACAACCAAAGTTTAAGTCAGTAACATTAAGTTCAACATAATTTGTTCTCTTTTCCATTATATACTTACCTCTAGCTCATTTTCATCAAAAATTTTAATCAGATCCTGTGGTATTAATTCAAAAAAGCCCTAAAAAGATGAGGGAAGTTTTTAAAAATCAAGATAACATTTTTTAAGCATTTTTGTTGATATTTAGATAGGTTAGCAAACAGAGCCAAAGCAATACATCAAATACAGATGTTTGGGCACCAGCAGACTCAAGTTTGGTTATAGTACTTTCAGTTATGACTTATCTCACATCTTTATTGTGCAACACTGAATGGTGAACGTTTAAGTCTGAATATCATACATGTAAAATCATTTATACAAATAAGGATAAACCAGCTAGTTTAATTTAATTCTATTAGTTTGATTTAATTTTTATTTCTGCAGAGATCATTAGTTTGCACTACAGCTAAAGCTGTCAGCCAAGACTGAGAAATAAGCACATTTTTCATAAGCACATTTTTCAATATGAATTAAACACCTCAGTAAAAATACACCCAAAAGAGTTTTAAGTCTGAAATAATTCAAAGCTGACACTACAAATAGTATCACGGCCTTTTTTTAATACCTGTAACAACATTATCTGTGGGTCTTCAGGATGTCCAAAAAAAGCTTGTCTTAAAACTAGATGCAATAAAATCTTAAAAGAATTTTTGTGATTAAAACTATACCTCTTTAAAGGCTGCCATTTGTTTTTGTACTCTGCTCACAAATCTCCACTGAATTACAAGACTGTAAAAAAACCAAAAACATTTAAAATAAAAGCAGTTTATATACAAAGCAACAACTTCTTTTTGTTAATACAACTAACACACAGCCCCTATGACTAGGAGGGGCAATCCAGTGAGATACACTGCACATAGTGACCGCTACTTACTGAATGTAGTCTCTCTTGTTCTTGTTGGTTACAATTATTTCTGATCCACCACTTTTCAGTTCATGTTGATGGGTCTAAATGCAATACATAGAACAGGTCTTAAAAGAGGTAAGTATGTAACCAAATACATAAGTTAATACTAGGTAACTTAGTTAGCTCTTGAAGACTGCAGAATTTGAGAACTACGAGAAATAGAACCAGTTTCACAGGTCACCTAAAGAATTTGGTTGATGGCTTCAAAAGAAAAAAAGTATTATTCAGGGATGCCAGACTGCAACAAGGCAAACTCAATTGTTTTCTGACCTGCTACAACAGATTACCCGAGTCTGCACACAAGTTGTCAGTAACATGAACTTCACTAACTACACCTTCAATGACCCAGCCTTTTTTCCAAACCTCAAGGGAAAACACTTACAGAAAAATTTCTGCAATGGTCCCAGTAAATAAGTGAATCAATATGCATATCTGTTACATAGTGATTTATGCTACTAGAACCTCAGTAGACAAGTATCTGATTTTCAGTTCATTACAGATGTTCATTTTCATGCTCCTACTTAGGATCATTTTAGTTACCCAAGACCACAAAAGCTATAATCCTACTTAAATCTAGTTGGCACCTGTAATTTGGAGTTTTTATTCAAGACCTGTGGTATTTTTACATGACTTATCTTGGATAGTTTCTATACAACAGACTTGTTTATTCCATAGTTTTCTAGTACCTCTTAGAGAAAAAAAAATTATTATCTCCCAGTGGAATTTATGATTCCAGCCATTTCCAAAAGAGCTCAGCCTTTCCAACTGATCATATCAAACCAAGCTCTACTCCAGATTAAGTAATGAGACTATGAATATCTTAGTCTCAGTTGCATTCACAGCAACAGCTACATTTCAATACAAATGTTATTTAAGAAAAAAGCACAAGCTATTTTTTAAAGCTCTTCTTATTTCCAAGTCCTTTCTCACATCACAGCCAGGCCAACAGAGCACTGCATGAGCATGTGCCAGCTAAAAGAAGCAGCTGAGCGAACAAACCAGCATGACTGAGTGAAAGGTTTTTCTTAATACCACACAGATAAGATCAGCTAATTTCACAGGTCAAATGTTTTCTTTCCTGTTTTGTCTATTCTACTTTACATAAACATACTAACCTGACCAAAAAGTTCTTCATCAACTATAAATCTGAGGTCCAGTTCTGTTGGATCATTTTCAAGAATCCATCTCAGAGAATTGTAATATTCACTATCCTATGAGAGGGAATTACAAAATAGTAAATACAAAACAGAGTAGCCACCTTTTAAGCCACAAGTGGCTCCATTACAGCCCAGCGAATGCTGCTACCCAGGGTAATCATGTATTGGATATAGAGACTCTGCCATTGTACAAAGCTACAAAGACCTTTAAAGACATTTGAAATCTGAAGACTCAGCAATTTCAGGACTAAAATGTCTCAAGTAGCAAAATGGTGATGTCTCAGCATTATCTGAAGTAATGTATTTTGGACTCTTTTTTGTGTCTCATCCTGTACTTGTCTTCCATTTACTGTTAGGCATTACTACAAAGAGCCTTAGGAAACGAAAATTAAGATAAAGCCGAACGCATCCTGGGCTGCACCAAGAGCAGCGTGGCCAGCAGGTTGAGGGAGGGGATTCTGCCCCTCTACTCCGAGAGTTGGGGGTGTTCAGCCTGGAGAAGAGAAGGCTCCGGGGAGACCTTACAGGGGCTTCCAGTGCTGAAAGGGGGCTGCAGGAGAGGTGGGGAGGGACTCTGGATCAGTGGTGTGGTGACAGGACGAGGGGTAACGGTTTCCAACCGAAAGAGGGGAGATTGAGATGAGATGTTAGGAAGAAGTTCTGTCCTGTGAGGGTGGTGAGGCACTGGAAGGGGCTGCCCAGAGAGGCTGTGGCTGCCCCCTCCCTGGCAGGGCTCAAGGCCAGGCTGGATGGGGCTGGGAGCAATCTGGTCTGGTGGGAGGTGTCCCTGTCCAGGGCAGGGGGGTTGGAACTAGGTGGTCTTTAACATCCTTTCCAACCAAAACCATTGTATGATTCTACAGTACTGAAAAAAAAAATAAATTCAGGACACATCTACAAATCTATTATTAGAAATGGATAGGAACTATACTCCACATTCTTATTGGACTTCAAAACAGTAATAGATTAGAGAGACTGAATAAAAATCACTCCATCCACGACTACTCTAGGTAAGAACCATTATTAGGGAAACAGAGAAACACGAAAACTGTAAAGACCATATTTTCCTCTAAAAATGTTACACTATCACTCAATATTTTTAGCCTCTGAAAGTACAAGAATGCATTTCTTTTTAATAATCAAAAGACATAGCATGGCTTTTGCTTTGCCTGTTAAACTGTCTTTATCTCAACTCACGAGTTTTCTCACTTTTACCCTTCCAATTCTCTCCCCCATCCCACTGGAGGTGGGGTGAGCAAGCAGCTATGGGCTGCGTAGTTGCCAGCTGGGGTTAAACAATGACACAGACTTAAAAAAAAAGTACCCTAAAATTTCTTTGGTGCACTTTCAAACCTTCACAATGTCATTAAAAGATACACATGAAAAATTAATATGAACGTGGAATCCTACCATACATGATAAAGCAAATTACATACCACGGACTCCATATCATGAAGTGTTATTGGTTTTTGGAGCATCATCTTGTAAAAAGGACGAATAAAAAAGGCTTTAAAAGAAGAACAAATAAATTGAACAGTATGTAACTTAAAATTAAAAATATACACAATATTATAAACATCATGTTACATAAAATAAATACTAACCATCCAGAAGTTTGCCATGGTAAACAGCCATTCCAGCTACACGACCTATAAACTTGAAGTAAGAGAGATGATCTTCATTGCAAAGTCCAGAGTTTGGATTGATCTGCAGAGTATAGTTATCCCTGAAGTTCAGGGAGGGAGCAGGGAAGAGAAAGAAAACAAAATGTTGTAACTACTGGAACAGTCCCACATTTGAAGATCTGAAAGACATCACTGGTTAATCAGGTATTACTTTTCATGACGTTGGAAAAAATAATCGTATTTGGACTAATAAATCACTAATCTAATATTAAACAATACTCAATAGAAGATCCTATCAGCATAGCAGAAATAACAGTTTTGAAACACCAGATATATGTAACTGCTATAACTCTTATTAATTTTAAAGTAGTCAGAATAACACTCTCTGAATTACTTGTTAAATACTGCCTCTTCTGCAAGTAGCAAATGGTCACAAGTGTATGCTTGTCTATGCAAAGATGACATGGCTTGTGTTAGACTGCTGAAAAAATACCGGTACTGTCTCCCCAGTATCCTCCTGTCAAACAAACAACTCTGTGCAGAGTACTGCAGTTATTCACAACTAAACCCTCCTACACAGTTTGGGGGTGGGGAGGTGGGGGGGATGTTACTCCATTCTTAAAATAGGTATGAGAAATACAATTGTTCTGCTTTCCTCAACTAGTCTCCATGTCTTCCAGACCTGCATTACTTACGTAGCTGAATATTCGAACAATCCGTAATAAGGATTAAACATTTCTTTAGAGAGGAGGAAGAACCATTCCCTGGCCACTCCTCCATAGTCTAAACCTTTTTCACCATCAAATTCAATCCAAAGTCTTGCTTTAAGGAAATCTGCTCTCTTTACAGCTATGATTCTTCTATAAGAATCTTCAAGGATTGTTGTGCGATGAATTTTCATTTCAAATCTGTTTGGAATATCACTCTAAAAAGAAAAAAGAAAACAGAATAATAGAACAAACCCTGGTATCTTAGTCTTGCAGCATATGCAAATTCTGTTAACAGACAAAGAAAGGAACAAAAATCCTTTTCTTAAATAATTTGGAAATATAACACAATATGATTTACAAGAGGCTTTATTTACATACAATTCAACTAGCATGGAGAGTTTCAGATACTAGGTTTATTTCATACCAAGAAAATAGGGTTGAAGTAAGTTCTTACTAGTAACAGGATACGCTCAGTTATTCTGCAAGCGGCAAGGCATGGAATCTTTTTTTAACACTGAAAATTCATCACAACATTCTAACTATAAGGCTAGATGTCCATCCCATTCTCTTAAGACATACATGACAAGTATTCCCACAATATTAAAATAAAAATCAGTCTACTTAAAATTTGAAGTCACAGGAACAAATCACATTTATATTTACTATCATATAGGAAAATATTTAAACAAAAATATTCAAGGAGCTCCTATTTGCTGCTGAGCTTCCAGAGTAAGTCCCTAACAAACCAGGAATGAAACTTTGCTGAATCATTAAAATCACTACATGAGAACAGAGTACTTTCTTGCTTTGACTTGCTTTCAACTGGTTTATTTCAGCAATTACTCCAGGCAAAAATTGAGAAATCCAGGGAAACTGAGAACACTAAATTTCAACTTGTGTTCCTCTATGACGCAATGAAACCCAGTATTTTCCAAATTTCAAAGAACTAGTCACTGAGTAGAAATAATGATTTTTTTGAATGCAGAAATATTTAATACATCACTGAGAAGTGTGACACATTCAGATATGCTTCCTTTTTATTTTCTTATACTCCTTAAATAATCTATCCTAAATGTCCAAAAAAAAAAATAGAATGCTGTATTTAAATGTAATGCCTATTTATATCCAACAACAGCTTGAGCCAAACTACAAACAAAAACAATTACTTGGTGTGTGGGAGCACATTATTTATCATTTTCCAAGTTGCAAAATACTGTATAATATTGTATCTTGAATTTACATGGTGGCTGAAATATATAGGTCTTTTTCATCATTTCAGAAAGCAATAAATATCCCTAAATTAAAAAAAAAAAAGTTTTCCTGGTTTTAGTTGCAAATCAACTTTTCAGAAAAAAGTTCAAGCAATAATAAAACCAAACTTAGCTGATTAAAATAGTATTCAATAATTAAATCTCTATAAATCAATCCATTACCCTAATTGTCACTTAAGGATTTGTGAATGCTTCAAAGGCAGGAGTAACATACGCTTTAAAACCTACATGTGTATTTAACTCTTCAATTACTACGACCGTACTGTGTGGCTGAGCTGTCTATTACTTCCCAGGTTCGGAGAACGACACCTGAACGAACGCTACGCCTGTCTGACGAGGAACACAAGAAATGAGGCACCTCTGTAATTGTGTGCCATCTAGACGCCAGCTCAAAGGGCACAGGGGTCAGAAAGGCTGGTACAGGTAAAAGGTGAAGTATGGGCCTAAACTCAAAGGCTATTATTTTTTATATATATATATAAATATATATAAAAAATCTCTCCCAAGGATACCAAATTTGATAGCAGTTGTGCAAAGACTCATTGTTATCTGGATATCCAGATGCTATTTACAGTCTTTTATGCTACGTGTTATAAGTATATCTGGCACCGCCGCTTCAAACTAGAACTTGCAAATGAGATTCATAAACTTCATATTTTAAGGCTATAACAATTTATTACAGTCATCTAGCCTGATAAAGATGACAGTACATATTTCTGTCCGGACAATCTATTATGAGAACTTCTCTTTCCATATTCTGAGTTCCAAAATCATATGCTAGATCAGCGATTTCCCAACTTTCCTCTTGCCAGCCTACTTCCAGGGTCACAACTCTTTTAACCTGTTAGAATTTCTACTTTTTCAATTAGATTGCCTGCAGTCTCACTGCCGCATAAAGTCACAAACCCTACTATGAGATTAAATGCTAATTGTTACCAGTCACTGCTTCACAAATGTATTTGTGATCAAACAGTAAGTCTGCCTTCCCTAAGCAGGTTACAAAGCTCAGTTTCCTTTCACTGTAATATAAGCTTTCCTTCATTTCGGTGCACAAGTTCAACCTTCTACTGGATTCCTACTGCATACTAACCTGTTTCTTCAGTTTCTTTCTGAAGAACTCATATTTCCGCTTATAGTCCCTGGAATAAGGCACAGCCTTTGGGAAAAAAAAAAAAAGAAAAAGAAAAAGTGGTTGAGCTACTCTAACAGTTAATGTAATACAAACAAGTCTGCGTTTGTGAAACACAGACAATGCATTTAAGTTCTCAGGAAACACAAATACATGTTTCATTAAGTACCGGGGAGACTTTTGATTTATAAATACATGGACAGTTCAAAACACCAGGAATGAGAAGCACTTCTTTGTTCAGCTCACTTGTTCTGATCGGTTTCACAGACTTTATTCAGTACTTCACTGTCAGCTGGTGTGACTGAGATCGCCAAGTGGCCCAGAGCAAAGCGACCAAAATGCCTTTAGCGACTTACGCAACGCCTGGTCTTTCCTTGCTGGATCATGAGAGACCTGGCTACAAACACCTCTCTTTTCCATGGACAGAGAAGGTTGTTTACATGTGTGGGCTATTAATAAATGCAGATATCAGTTGAACACTAAAACCCATCTATAATTATAATGTGTACAGTCTTTGCAATTAGTCCTGGTAATTTTGCACTTCAAATTACGTATCAAGTCTAGATAAACATTTTTCAGTTCAAAGTTAATTTCATGCCTTTTAAAGTCATTTTGTCTGCCCCCTCCCCCACCTCCCAAGGTTAGTTCACGAATTGAGCTAGTTTTATTTTGGACACTGTGGATAAAAAAAAAAAAATGAAGTTTCTTACCCGCTTCAAATCCTCCCCCCTCTGCTCCCCAGTCTATAAGGAAACTGTCTTACTACTCTGGGAACTGATTTTTTTTTTTCCAATTATTTTTTCAAAATTTTTTTTTTCTTTCTTTCTGGCATTTAAAGACCATTTCCACAGAAAGCTTTCTAAACAGTCTTTAAAAATAAAAATGCCTTGCTCAAACACCCTGGAAGTTTCATCTTCCAGACTGAGAACCTGATATATGACAAGAGTTTGTTTGCATTCTATTAACAATATTCTTGAAAAATATGTAAAGCTATGTAAGGAAAGCTTACTGGTCCAGTTATTGCCACATTCTGCAGTCGAGGATCCTCCCATTGTGTTTTCTTTGTATCTGCAAGACATTTCTTAATTAGTTCCATTAATGTAGATAATGTTCAGAAATAAAATGACGAGTGGTGGGAGAATACTACATTGTACATACTGTGGTTGATGAAGAATATTCTTCCATCTGTGTGAGTTCTCTCTTCCCACCCTGGCTGTAAGGAGGAGACACTTTTATTATCAATTTCTGACCACATAGTTTGCACAGAACTCAACATGGCCTGCAACTGGGGGCATTCCCCCTCTCTACTCTCAGCACTGGAATTCAAAATAAGAGTATTTTCTGTATGAACAAAGCGGGCTGCATTTTCTCATGTTCAAGTTTCAATAGTGCTAACTTAAATATTTAGATTGTTCTATCTGCAAAACGAGTATAAAATGGTTTACTCACTGGTAATGGGCCCAGGTCTACTGGATCTAGGGAAGCCTTTCTCCTTGGATGAGCAGAAATTTTCAGTCTTGGATCTTCCTTTGAAAACAAAACAAGCAGCACGTTAAAATCTTTTGTTGTTTTATCTCACTTTTCATTTTTTCCTCTTTATTAATGATTGTGTAAAGAATATGCCTAGTACCAACTAGATTCTGCAGCCAGGTAGCTCCTCAGGGATTTTCAATCCTCCAGTAGTTCACAATCATCTTCTAATGACCTCTCACTTTATTTTTATATATAT